TTGAGTTCTGCCCAGCTGATAGACGAAAAATGAGATCTCAGTGTAGTTTTGATTTGCATTCTCTAATTATGTGTTTAAACGTCATTTAGGTTTCTGTTTTTGTGAACAGCCTGTCCTTTTGCCCATTTCTCTATTCCGTTGCAGTTTGGCATGTTTTAAAGAAATTAACCCTTTGTCTGTGATACGAGCTATCAACGTTTTTCCCTGTTTATCTTTGAAGAAGTCTTGACTTTACAGTGCTCCTTTCTGTGCAGAGGTTTTTACTTTTGTGTTCAGTCTCTCAAGCCTCCTGTGATGGCTTTTAGCTGCTGGAGTGAAATGAAAACAGCCTCTCCCCATGTGGAATATAAAACAGATTTATCTCACTGCAGTACTTTGATGGGTAGATATTTTTGTGTTTAGATATTTTATTCACCTTGAAATTATTATGCCAGATAAGGGTACAGCCTAGTTTTTTCCAGATGGATACCTAATAATATTTATTGAATAATCTGTTTTCCTCTCACTGATTGATTTGAAATGTCACTGTTACCAGACACTCCACTGTTTTATGTATTTGGGTACATTTCTTCACCTCCTACTCTGTTCCATTGATTTGTCTGTGTGGACATATGCACCAGTACCAAATGTTTTAATTACTATAGTTTTTCAACAGCTTGACTATCTGCTAAGGCTCATCCTCTCTTAATTTTCTTTTTCAGAATTTTCCTGACCATTCTTGCATTTTAAAAAATACGTCAACTGTAGAGTCAGCCTCTCAGGTTCCTTAAAGAATCCTCTTGGTACTTTTATTAGGGCTGCATGGAGTCTGTGGATTAATGGAAGGAAGCTTGGCGTCTCCACGGGTGTTTCTCTCCAAGAAGGTGGCGCCATCCACTTCTGCCCCTTGTTCAGTCTCCTGACAGTGTTTTTAAAATTTTCGCCGTAAGGCTTTCTTTTACTGTAAGTTTATTCCAAGATATTTCAGTTTTTTCATTGCTGTTACAGATGTGGTTGTTTCTTCCTGTCTATCCTGAAAAGCCTGGTGATATCCGTATAATAATTTTCCCCCATCACCTAACTGAATTTCATCTTTTTTATAATAGTTTTCTAGTTGATGTTCTTGGATTTTCAAAGTAAAGTATCGTACCTGCAAGTAATGACACCTTGCTTCCTCTTTTCCAGGTTTTTTGCCTCCCGTTTCTTCCTGTTTTGGTGCTGGCATTTAGAGTTAGTGATGGAATGTGCGGTTGGGGGCAGCCACCCCGTCTTGTTAGATGTTAGGGAATCATGTCTCTCTTCCTATTTTATTAAGAATTGAATTTTATCAGATGCCTTCTCAGAATCTCAGATTCTGGGAATAACCATAGGATATCTTTCTGCAGGTCTGTTGGAAAGATGTAATGCTAAATGTCCTAACATTATATGGAATTGTCCTCTCTCTTCTGAATCATTTTAGTCGGTTATGATGTGTCACTCTTTCTGTTTCTGCCAGATTATGTTTGCTGATATTTTACTTGGGATATTTCCATTGACATCCATAAGTAGGAATCTTTCTCTTGGGGGATGTGTGTGTATATGTGGATTTGTTTGGAGTTTGGGGGTTCTTTTCCATAAAACAAATTTAAGGGATTCCCTCCTCCCCGCGACGCCCCGCCATCTGTGTCACCTTGGATTAATTTAAATATCTTTGGAAATGTCTGTGCCTCCATGGTTTGTGAAGACACCTGTTTCTGATGGTTTTTGTGGGAATTGATTATGTATTTCAGGACACACGGAGAATACAAAATTCTTTTTGTTACCTGAACATAGGCTAGTAATTGACTTGGAAAAGTTTTTTAGTTTAGTAAAATTTATTCCAGGGCTTCCCTGGTGGCGCAGTGGTTGAGAGTCTGCCTGCCAATGCAGGGGACACAGGTTCGTGCCCCGGTCCGGGAAGTTCCCACATGCCGTGGAGTGGCTGGGCCCGTGAGCCATGGCCGCTGAGCCTGCGCGTCCGGAGCCTGTGCTCCGCAACGGGAGAGGCCACAACAGTGAGAGGCCCACGTACCGCAAAAAAAAATTATTCCAATTCAGGAAGTTAAATATATATAGTTGTCCATTCCGGTCTGTGTATATGTGCGTATCATACATGAGCATTTATATTCGCATATCCCCACATGTGTTTGTGTGTGTCCGTATGTATATTCATGCATGTGTGTATGTATGTGTGTGCATTATACATGTATGTGTTTTCATGTATCCATAAATGTGTGTACACACGTGCATATACGTACAAATACATGTGTAACTCATGTGCTTTGTGCCCCGATTTACAGCCCCTGCCCTGGGTGTTGGGCGGTGCCAGGCAGCACTGTGTCATGAGCAACCTCGTGTTGCACACGTGCCGTGGTCGGTGCCCGTAGTCCCACTGGGACGGCCCCAGAGCAGAGCTCAGGCCGCGCTCACTGCAGGTGGAGGGCTGGCCGGCGGGTAGTGGGGTGGGTGGCTCGGGTACAGCTGTGCAGCCTCCCGTCCGACCGCAGACGGGGTGGGGAGCCCAGGGGGGGGTGAGAACCAGTCTCAGTGCCACCAGCGCCTTGTCCGGGGGCCGCGTGATGTGGCCGTTGGGGGAGCTGGCGGAGGTCAAAGGCACCTTAGTGGGTTCTCAGAGGACACGCCCCCCCTTAGGCTGTGCACCCAGCCCTGGGCGGGGGCTGGGGGTGGGGCTGGAGTGTCCCGGCCCATCCTGGGGGAGGGGTGACGTGGCTTCGAGAGGACTTCTGGGGGGTCAGACACCCAGGGGTCGTGGGGTCAGGGGTGGGTTGCAGCAGAATCCGTGATTTCTGAGCGGTTAACCACGGAGGGGCCCCAGTGTGGGTGGTCCCTGCGGTGACACGGGGCCTGCAGGGCACTGCATGGCCTCCCCAGCATCCGCTCTGTCACAGGGAGCTCTACCGTGATGCTCTTAGGGACGACGTCATAGGAACGGAACCCAGCGAGACCTGCGTGTGTGTTCCCTACTAATTGTACTTTCAGCGTGAGGTCACACTGTAGCTCACCTTCCTGTCCTAATGAGGTGCTCGTTCTGCTCTGTGATTCTCTGTGAGCTTCTGTTAGGACGAAGGGCGGGTTTTTATCCCTTCAAATAACAATTCTCATTTCAGGAGTCTTAGCACTTCCTGAGCACACGGAGAGAAAATCTGATGGTTAAATAGTGGACGTTTCCCTCCCCACCCACTTGTGTGTATTATATTTTAATTGTGAAAATAACATGTCTACTGATGAAAACTTTAGACGTTAATGACTAAGACAAGTTAATGATTGAGGTGAAAGTGGAAGTCGTTGTCTGCATCCCGCACTCTGTTCAGTCCCTGAGAGACACAGCGTACAGCCTTCCAGACCTGTTTCTGCTGTGTGTTAACAGAGGGTGTGTTCTATGAAAGGGAATCATACTGTGTAGAAATGGAAACCTTTCTTCCTGACTGAACTGTAGTCTTGACTTTATTCTGTGATGGTCCATACAGAATTTCTGTGTTCCTTTTAAGGGATGCGTAATTTTTTTTTCTTTTTTTTTTGCGGTACGCGGGCCTCTCACTGTTGTGGCCTCTCCCGTTGCGGAGCACAGGCTCCGGACGCGCAGGCTCAGCGGCCATGGCTCACGGGCCTAGCCGCTCCGTGGCATGTGGGATCTTCCCAGACCGGGGCACGAACCCGTGTCCCCTGCATCGGCAGGCGGACTCCCAGCCACTGCACCACCAGGGAAGCCCAGGGATGCGTCATTTTTAATTAGGCATACGCCATTACTCATCTTGCCAGTTCTTTGCTAGTTTGTCCTTGGTGTTTAGCTCTGTGCCGTGGTTTTGGACTATCTGCCGGGGGAGGTAGAGGCGGTGTTGCTGCGGCAAAGGTGCGTGTCTACACTTCGGCTTGGACAGTGTGCTCACATTATCCCAGCAGGTGCGTGGCTGTCTTCCCATGGCCACGCCACTCACTCTGGGCATCATCATAACCTCTTGGATGGGTGAAAAGTGACACCTCACTGTTTTAATCTATTTCATTGCTAGAGGGCTTGAGTACCTTTTTGGGTTTTTTGTTTGTTTGGTTTTGGTTTTTTAAATATTTATTTAGGTTGCGCCGGGTCTTAGTTGTGGCGTTGCAAACTCTTAGTTGGCAGTATGCGGACTCTTAATTGTGGCCTGTGTGCTCTTAGTTGCAGCATGCATGCGGGATCTAGTTCCCTGACCAGGAATCAAACCCGGGGCCCTCTGCATTGGGAGCATGGAGTCTTACCCACTGGACCACCAGGGAAGTCCCTCGAGTACCTTTTTGTATGCCTAAGGCCATTTGTATTGCTTCATAAGAGCAGCATGAGACATAAGTTATAATTTTTTCAGCATGATTCTAGTTTGTGACTTTGTTCGGTGTCTTTCTAGTTAGAAATTTTTCATTTCTACTTAACCGGATCTATCAATCTTTGCTTTGTGCTCCGCTTAGGAGACTGTACTCAGCCCGAGATTATGGAAGCATTCTCCTCTGCCTTTAGTCCACTGGAATTTATCTTTGTGAGCAGAGTGGAGGGCCGGCTCCCCGCCTGGTTTGTTGCCTAGTTCATGCTCTTCTCCCTGTGGGAAAGGCTGCCAGACGCTGAGTTATCCACGGGATCTCATGCAAACATGAACTATGAGACTCACCGTTTTAGTAAATATCAGAATTGTTGGGTAAGATGTTTACTGAGGCTAAAAATGGTTCCTACCACCTTAAAGTTACAAAGAAACATGACTCCACACACTCTGAGAAAGTAAAATTGAGGAGTTTTTAGCTTTATTGACGCATCGGTTTCTGAGCAGGAGCCTCGGCTTCATCTGTTCGCTTTGTGACAGTTTGTGAGCCTCGTCGGAAGGGAAAGCGAAGCAAGAAGTTAAGTATAATAAAGTTTTGCGTGTGGGAAGGGACTTTATGCCACGGTGTTCGTAAATCTTTGCTGTCTAAAGTCGGGTAACCTACCCTCCTCGTGTTTCTTCTCGTCTGTCTCACCGCAGCCTAAGCGCGACGGCCAGGTGTTGCTGACCCAGGTGTGGAAGCGCTTGAATCTGATAGAATGTGACTACTTCGGCTTGGAGTTTCAAAACGTCCAGTCCTGCTGGGTATGTGCTCTCATCTGCTTTGGGAGATAGGCTGTCGGTGGGCTGCAGATGCTTGTGGTGATGCATCCAGGCCAGAGGCCTCTGAGGACCTCCTGGAATGATGCAAGCAGGGCACATTGTTATTATCAAAGGTGTGCTATTAAAGTATTTTATTTACAGCTGTAGGGAATATATTTGCCTCCTACCTAAGCCTGAATTGGCATCCCCCCTAATTTTTTTCAATCTACTAGCACATGTGCCAAGGAAATCCTTTCTTCATAAGTTATAAAAGCAGCTAGAGTATATTGTGTGTGATGATCATTTCAAGAGTGGATTTTGAGCAAACTGCCTTACTAAACTGGTTATGCCTCATTTTACTTAATAGGTGAACCATAAAAGTGTGGAGCTTTAATATTTACAGGTAGAACTGTTTTAAAGAAACCAAGTGAACCCATTAGTTCAAAAAGCATGTCAGCATTGTAGAGCCCCGTCTACCCCTGCCGCACAGTAACCCTCTCATCAGCTCGCTGTTTACAAAGGCAGCGGGTGCCCGATATTTGTTTGGTCTTAACAGATACCAGCCCCAGCACGCACACACAGAGTTCTGGGTGCCGGTCCTGTGCACGGCGACAGTAGCCTCTGTGACTTGGGGTGGTTAGCAGCATCCTGTCCTTCGACGCCTCCCAAAGCGTGCCCTGCTGTACTCTGTTATATCAGGATTCGACGTGTGTCTAAGAGCAGCCGGGCCAAAATACTCCTGCCTTAAATATCTCCCTTAATTATAAATATTTGTGTTTTGTAACATTCTTATTAAATAGAGAAATAATTGAATGGATTTGATATCTTTTCTTAAATCCTCTTTAGATCTGGCTTGAACCTATGAAACCCATCGTTAGACAAGTACGAAGTAAGTCCTTTTCTTAACTCTTTAAAGCTCTGCTCATTTAAGATGCTTTGTCCTTGACTGTTCAAATTCAAGGCACGTTTGGACGATCATGGTCGTCACCACTCTGGGCAGCAGCAGAGTGACACCAGCAGCAGGAGAACTTGGAGGTCAATTTGCTGTTTAGCTTTAAACTGTAAGACGTGGAGGGTGGGGTGTCGTTTAACTCAGTTCTCAGTTACTTGCCTCAAATTTGGAACAAATAGGATATGCCGCTCGATATTGCCTTCATTTTTGGCCAAAAATAAGTGTGCAGTTTCTAAGTTATGAAAAGACATACGGGGTGAAATCTCTGGTCCTGAATTCACCTGTAAGTTTTCTAGGACTAAATTGAGGAGAAGAGGTTGTATGGAAGGGACTTTTGTTCACTGATAAGCGGAGGCCATTTCGGTTGCCATAGCAGTTTAGCAAAACAGTTCCTCTTTTCTTGTGGCGGAAATCACGTGGCTGTGTTTTTATAAAATTTCAATAAAGCTAAAGTACTCAGATACGCTGATACCCTAAACTTCTTCTTTACAGTAATCGGGTGGTTCTAGTTCAGTAGAGTGAATGATAACATTTTTCTTTCACTAAAGTATATAAGGATTTCAAAAATAATGGCCTTTTTATTATTAAATTTTTTTTTGGCCTTGCCGCATGGCTTACGAGATCTCATTTCCCCGACCAGGGATCATACCCAGGCCCTGGCAGTGAAAGCCCGGAGTCCTAACCTACTAGGCCACCAGGGAACTCCCAGGCTTTTAAAATTATCACTATGACTAATAGTATAAACACCTTAATTTTTTTAATCACTTTTTTACTCCTAAAATATAAAGAAGAATACATTTTAAGATTTTAATGTGCAGTTTCCTGCTTGTTTTTAGGGTTTCTTTTAGTAATCTCTACTTAAAGCAAAAGTTTTCAATTTTTTCTTTGCTATATGTGACTGGTACTTAGGACTAACAATTTCACACAGAGGAAATTTCTTAACATCCTCTTACTTGAAAAGATTTGCTTTCACAGTCCATTTGAAAGCACTAGCTCAATCACCCCAGAATATGCAGAAAGAGAGCAAATGCAGAGTGTGACCTTATTTGTGGACTTTAAAATGTTTCTTTTTATAGGGCCAAAGAACTCAGTGCTCCGCCTAGCAGTGAAATTTTTCCCACCGGATCCGGGTCAGTTGCAAGAAGAATATACACGGTAAAGAGCTTGACTGACCCAGAGCTGCCGTGGGCAGGGTCCTCCTTCACCTGTGTCCCCGACAGCACCTGTGCTTTACCTAAGCACCTGGTCAGGGTTGTTTATTCAAAGAACGAGCCTAGTGTCTGCGTCAAAGCTGTAACCAAGGTGTCATAGTTTTGCATTTTCACTCTTGCACAGACACAAATGCAAATAGGGTTTGGAAGAAAGGTTACGGCACAAATTTGAGAATTAAAAATGGCGTTTGAGGGTACTGCTGAACAGATACTCTCCAAACGAGCATAGATCTATGCCTGTGCATGAAGTCGGTAGGAATTTCGCCCATTCCTTTACTTTTTTAACCAACAAAATACACTTACTTGTGAGTGTCCTTATGAATATATAGAGCAGAAATATTTTAGGTGATTTCTTCTGTGCTACTCTTTTAAATTCACGATTGATTCTTTGAAAGAAAATGTTTGCAGTTGTTTCATCTGGGCAATAAGATTACAGAAGTGGGTTTTCTCCTTGTGTTTTACGTACTGATTTTATCGTGAGGAATAAAGCAAAAACCTAAAAGTCAACTCAAAGCCCGGAGTCAGAAGTTAGATAAGAGAGGGCTATGATGATGATGCAGTGGTAACAGAATAGCTTCCTGACAGAATGTGGATCCACACCTGGGCCTCAGAGTCCTAGAACCTCTGCTTAGAAGGCCTTTGCCAACTGCTTCTGAATCACAAAGTCATAGACTCGCTGCGAGGACACGTAGAGACCGCAAGGCTCTAGTCTCTCATCTTTACGGGTTAGGAGCTGAACCCCGGGACGGCAGGAAGCGCCTTACGAGTGAGCACAGAGCTTGTCTTAATAGTGTATTAAACACCTCACATTTACCAGGAAGTCCCTTTTGAGAGAATCACTTTTAAATATATATTCCTCGACAATGGTGAGTCACAGGAAGTGTTGACCTAATTCCATGTCCTGGGTCCAAGCCGGGTTTATGCAGAAGGTCATTTTTTTATTTATAAAAAAACTGCATGTTTGTGGTAAAAGAAGAAAAACTTTAAAGTTATGTAGAGTAAAAAGTCAGCGTTCCTCTTCACTCCCTGCCCACCCACCCTTCCCAGAGGTGTTAACACTTGGACACGAGTCTTCCAGATGAATTCACAGCAGCATGCCAGTAGACGTGGGGCTTTAAAGTCATTATTTTACAAAACAGTGTCAAACCCTACATAGAGAACTGCAGGTCGAGTTTCTTTTTCCCCCACACATCCATGGCATGCCGTGGATGTCTTTCCGTGTTAGTATGTATGGCTGTGGCCTAATTTATTTAGCCAGAGTCTCATGTTAGTGCAAATTTCGATTGTTTCTAGCTTTTCTCTGCTGTAATGCTGCAAATTAACATGCTTGTCCACATATCTTTGTGAACTCTGGAAGTGTTTCTGTAGAAAAGTTCATAGGGGTGGGATTGCTTAAGGCCAAGGGTGTGTACATTTCAAGTGTAAGAGAGCAGTACACGCTGATGGCTCGCACTGGAGCGGGACCCCCAACAAGGGCAGGGCGTCTGCCCCGCTCCCCGTGGTATTTCCAGCTCCCAGAACAGCACCTGGAGCATATATGTGCTTGGGGATTATTTGCTCATGGGATGAATGAATATATAAATAGTTTCGGTCACCCTCTCTGTTACATTCTCACCAGTTAATTCAAGACTCCCTGTTTCTCAGATTCGAGCCAAGAGCAGACGTTAGCGATTTGCCCTAAAGCTTCGTAGCCTCACTTGAAGCTTTGTCCCCATTGGCTGTTTCTGCTACTTCACACAAAATCATGAGCATAGCATCGTGTGTGTGGCAGGTGTGGCACAAATTCGTGAGCCTCCCCCTTGACGGTACGGCTCCAGGTGATCTGGTGCCCTGGGCTGTGGTGTGCCCGGGCGTGTGGGCCGCCCGCCGTGCGGACGCGCCGAGCTCTGTGGTGCTGGGCCTCCTGTGTCTGCCCTCGCTCGCCATCTGCTCTGGTGTGACCTGGGGCTGTGTGTCCTCCTGAGACAGATGTGGGGAGTGTGTTCAGAGGCTTTGGAGCTGATCTCTGTGCTTGGAACTCCCTCCTAGATACTTGTTTGCCCTGCAACTTAAGAGAGACCTTCTGGAGGAGCGTCTGACCTGCACGGACACCACGGCTGCCCTCCTGGCGTCCCACCTCCTGCAGGGTGAGTGTCCCGCTGGCCCCGCGCTCACACGGGATGGCTGCGCCTGTGGCTGACTCACCTGCCTCAGGCTGGGCACCAGCAAAGGACGGGCGGTTCAGTTTGCAGGTTTTTCTGAAGAGCTGAGGGTTAACTTCCCACCTGGGAGGTGAGACGGGCCACGCGTCCTCCCCGCGGTCTCACGTGGCCCTCAGACCTCCAGTGGGGGGGCCAGGCAGCACCCCGACTCTGGGGAGAGCATCACAGCCCCCGTGACAAGTCAGGCGTCAGTCCCCGAAGGACAAAGGAAGCCCTTCAGTATCTCAGAGTGGGAGGTGGTTTGAGCGCCATGGTGACTTCAGGCGTGAACTGGGAGAAGCGTAAGAGGAGGGTCTGGAGAGCAGGTGCGCGCTTCGTCCGGGCCCTCCAGCCCCCACCCCCACCCCCCGCAGGACAGACAGAAGAAAATCCCTGCCTGGCTTCTGGACTAGAGGCTGGACCACATCTTCCTGGCATAGAACGAATACTTCTGAAATTTGAACTCAGGACGTATGATACAGAGAGGTTCCAGAATTTTAGGAACTTCTAAGTTAATGGGTTAGTGTGCAGTTTACTTGGTCCTTCCCCGACTCACCTTCTCCAAATAGCAGATTTTACCAGAGGTTTGCCGTCCTGCGCAATGGGACCTGTTCACGCCCATAAGCACAAGTGTCGAAGTGGCTTAGTTATCTGTGATTTGTCCTGAGGTCCTCTCAGGCGGCAGGTGGCTTTTCAGTGCGGACGGCCTTCGGTAGTGCCTCTTGCTGAGGGCTCTGTGCGCAGCTGAGTTATCTTAGAATAACTCGTCTGCCTGTAAGTTCCACCTTGGAAGTGTACTGCTTAGATTGAAGGGTGGTAAAGAGCCACGACAGCCAGATGCCATGTAGGATTCTGACCAGGTCTTTTGCTTTAAAGTTAGGCGGCTGCTGAAACGTGAACGGGTTCTGAGGCTTGGATGGAGCAGCAGATGGTGGCCTTGTCCTTACCTGGGTGGTGCTGCCGGGGTTATGCATGAGAATGTCCCATTTTGTAGAAAACACACACCAAGCTGTGATCCTCTGCATGCAGCTTTTCTGTGATTTGAGACTGTCTCAAAGCAAAGTATGTTGCTTAAAATTATTGGGCTTTAACTACTATTTTGAAAATATGTGTGGCCTTAAAATACATGAAATTAGAAAGAAACATTCACTGTTCCTCAAGAATTTGAGAGGGCCTGAAGGAAGAAACAATTTAAAATACATTATCTTGAAACAAAATAAAGGACCTTATCCTGGTCACAGTAGTCTTGAGACAACGTACAGAGAAAACGTTTAAAACGTAGCAAACAGGGTATAAAGCTCAGTTTCCCTCCCTGGAGCCGCTCACCAGCGTCTTTCCTCTTCAAGACTCAGAATTCTCTTCGCCTGCCTTTATGTTTGCCTTGAACGGCATAAAATATTTGGAAAAATAAAATACAACATTTTGTTTATTTAAGGGATATTTTTTTTTGCTACGGATTTAGGATAATTTTCTTCTGCTTTTAATTTACGCACTTGCACGCACAGACGCTTGTATTTTTCTTCATGTAAACATGAGAAAGACCGCCTGTTACTTTCTCGTCTCAGCGGAAATAGGAGATTACGAAGAGGCGCTGGTCCGGGAGCACCTGCAGGCCCACGAGTACCTGCCGGGCCAGGAGCGGGCCCTGGAGCGGATCCTGGAGCTCCATCGGGGGCACGCGTGAGTCGGCGCCGCCGGACGTTGGGGCAGTCGGCTGGCCGGGCGGGACTCCGTCCACAGGCCGCTTCGGGACAGGCTGGGAGGGTGCCCGGGCCCGGGGCAGTGCTGGCGTCCCTCCGTAAGTGGGGGGCGGTGGACGGGGGTCCCGCACTGGCCACGCCCAGTCCTCAGGTTTCGGGGGGCGGGATGGTTCCTGCTGCAGCCCTGCTGCCTGGCTTCCCTAAGGCTTGACGCTGGGACGAGGTGAGGGCGACCCGGAGGAAGAGGGGAAGAGAGATGGGGAGGCCGTGAGAAGGGCTGGCGGCCCCGGGCCCGGGGGTTGTGAGCTTGAGTTCACCAAAGGGAGAGCTCGATGGGGAGGGGTCCTGGAGGACTGGGCCCCCCTCGTGGGAGAGGCTGCTGAGAGGTAAGCGCGCTGGCGTCACGTGCAGGGCGGGCGTTGGGCAACGCAGACCCAGGCTCCAACCCTCGAGGATGCCCTTCCCTGTGAGGCTGTGTGCTTTTCCATGCCTTTACCGCTCAGAGCTACCAACGGGCCTTTGTGTGCCTGGCTCGGGGTGGCACTGTCTGTACAGGTGTGTCACTTGGGGCACGTGGGCTGGAGTGCCAGGCAGAACCCACTCTGCGGGAAGGATGGGGTGCAGGAGGACCGTGAGGGTGCCGGCAGAGGCAACAGCCTGGGGGTGGGGGGCACAGCACCCAAGGTCCTAGGAGCCAATAACAGCCCCAGCTGCTGGCGGGACGCGAGCCCTGGGCTCTGGGCCCCCCTTCGTCACGTGGTGAAACGGAGCCAAGGCCTGAGCTCCGTCTTGGGTGTGGTGGTTTGGGGCACCGCTGGGCGTCCGAGCTGTGCACACGGGGCCACCCTTTCCCAGCCGCGGCCTCAGCTTGCACCTGGCCCTTAGGGCTCTGGCCCCGCTTCCTAGAGCCCCTCGGCGTGGCCTCTTTCGAGGCTGCCTTGGTTCTGGCTGGCGGCGGGGGAGTGCGCCACACCCCGTGTCACACCCAGACCCCGAGGACCAGCCGAGCAGAGGGCCCCCTCCCCATGCCAGCCTGAGTGAGTCCCCGGTCTGCCCCAAAGGGGACCGTCACCTGTGTGGGATTTGCTCCTAGCGTGGGGGCAGGGTCCCCTTCCTGCCAGGACACACAGGGCCAGAGCCGGGCGCCCGTGGAGGGTGGGGTGGCCACGGTGTGAAGCGTGCCACCTGGGCAGCAGCGACGGGGCAGGGGTGGAGCCAAAGCATGCTGTGCAGGGTGAGGCGGGGTGGGGGGAGGGGGGAGGCGGGGCGGGGCCAGGACGCACCCCTGGAGGATGGGGGCGGGGAGAGGCCCCAGAGGCCTTGAGAAGGAGGCCGTCAGGACAGGGCCATGAGCAGCGGAAGGAAGACAGCCTGGGGCCGCAGACCCCAGGGAAGAGTGCTTCAGGATGGGGTCCACAGCCCCGTGGGAGAGGCTCACCGCCAGGCCCGGTGGGTGGGGGTTCATGATGTGACCCCCCCCCCCATGCATGGGGAGGCTGGTGGGACGGTGACCAGTCTATGCTCAGTCACACCGAGAACCCGCCTTGAGGGGAGTAGAGCACCATACCTGAGAGGTGGCTCCGCGCCTGCACGTCGTGCGTTCGTATGCACATGTGCATGTGTTTGTAAGTGTTGCAGATATCTCTAAAGTTTGTATGGAAACACGAAAGACCCCAAATAGCCAAAATAATCTTGAGAAAGAAGAGCAAAGCTGGAGGAATCACTCCCTGATTTCAAACAACTACACAGCTACAGCCATCAAAACGGGAAGGAAGTGGCATAAAAACAGACACACAGATCAATGGAACAGGACAGAGAGCCCAGAAATGAGCCCACACACTTGTGGGTGTGTGAAAAGAGACAAGACTAGACAATGGGGAAAGACAACCTCTTGAATAAACAGCATTGGGAAACTGGACAGCCACACACGAAAGAATCAAACTGGACCCCTTTTTCACACCATATACAAAAAATAAACTCAAAATGGATTAAAGACTTACATGTAAGGGGACTTCCCTTGTGGCACAGTGGGTAAGACTCCACGCTCCCAATGCAGGGGGCCCAGGTTCCATCCCTGGTCAGGGAACTAGATCCCACACAACTAAGAGTTCACGAGCCGCAACTAAGGGGCCTGGCTGCCGCAACTAAGACCCAGTGCAACCAAATAGCTAATATAATAAATAAATATTTTTAAAAGATGACTTACATGTAAGACCTGAAACCATAAAACTCCTAGAAGAAAACAGGCAGTATATTTTTTGACGTGGGTCTTAGCAATACAGTTGACCGTTGAACAACATATGCGTGAACTGGGTGAGTCCCCTTATACACGGACTGTTTTCCGTGGTAGATGCTACATACTACATGGTCTTAGGCAGGTTGAATTCTCAGATGTAGAACCTCGGATACAGAGGGCTGGCTGTAACTTATGTGCAGAGGGTCGGTGCCCCTAACCCCCGAGTTGTTCAGGGTCAACTATATTTTTGTTCGGATCTGTCTCCTTAGGCAAGGGAAACAAAAGCAAAAATAAACAAATGGGACCTAATAAAACCAAAAACTTTCGCACAGCAAAGGAAACCATCAACAAGACAAATGGCCGCCTACTGAATAGAAGATATTTGCAAATTATATGTCTGCAAAAATATACAAAGAACTCATACAACTCAAAATGAAAAAGGCAAACAACTTGATTAGAAACTGGGCAGAGGACCTGAAGAGACATGTTTCTAAAGAAGACAGACAGATGGCCAACAGACACATGAAAATATGCTCAACCTCACTAATCATCAGGGAAGTGCACATCAAAACCACCATGAGACACCACCTCACGCCTGTCAGAATGGCTGTCATCAAAAAGACAAGCAGTAAATCAGCAGACGAATGGGTAAAGAAGATGTGGTATGTATTATACAATGGAACACTACTCAGCCATAAAAAAGACAGAAACTTTGCCATTTGCAGCAGCCTCTATGGACCTGGAGGGCATTGTGCTAAGTGAAATAAGTCAGACAGAGAATGAGAAATACTGTATGATTTCACTTATGTGTGGAATCTAAAAATACAGCAAACTAGTAAATATAACAAAAGAGAAACAAACTCAGATGTAGAGAACAAACTACTGGTTACTCATGGGGAGAGGGAAGCGGGGAGGGGTGAGATAGGGGTAGGGGATTAAGAGGTACAGACTACTAAGTATAAAATAGATAAGCTACAAGGATGTACTATACACATAGGGAATATAGCCAATATTTTATAATAACTATAAATGGAGTATATAGCCTTTAAAAATTGTGACTCACTATATTGCACACCTGTAGCTTATACAACATTGTACATCAAGTGTACTTCGATAGAAAAAAAGACAAGAGGGGGCTTCCCTAGTGGTCCAGAGGTCTGCGCTCCCAATGCAGGGGGCCCAGGTTCAATCCCTGGTCGGGGAACTAGATCCACATGCCGCAACTAAGAGCCCACATGCCACAGCAAAGATCCTGCGTTGCCACAACTAAGACCCAGAGCAGCCTAAATAAATAAATAATAAATAAATATTAAAAAAAAAAAAGACAAGAAATAAGTGTTGGCAAGGATGTGGAGAAAAGGGAACCCTTGTGCACTGTTGGTGGGAATGAAAATTGCTGCAGCCACTGTGGAAAATAGTATGGAGCTTCCCCCCAAAATTAAAAATAGACTCAATACTCTGTAATGGCCTATATGGGAAAAGAATCGAAAAAAGAGTGGATATATTAGATTCACTTTGCTGTACACCTGAAACTAACACAACATTGTAAATCAACTCTACTCCAATTAAAAAAAAAATTAGATAAATAAAAATTAAAAATAGAGCTACCATATGATCCAGCAATTCCACTCCTGGGTATTTACCCAAAGAAGAAAGAAACACTAACTCGAAAAGATATGTGCACCCCAGTGTTCATAGCAGCATAATTTACAATAGCCTAGATACAGAAGCAGTGCCCATCAATAGATGAATGGGTAAGTAAGATGTGGTGGATATACAGTGGAATCATCATCTAGTTGAAGATGATTTATTAAAATGCAAGTTAATAGATGTCTATATCCACTTCAGAGAACAGACATTTTAGTCAAAGAATGGAAGTCACAAGAACGGCATCACGCAAACAGTTGTGTTATTCCTTAAAGATCCAAAAACTCAGGCATTCAGAAGTAAGAAGAAAAAAAGAGTTGTTAATGGAACATCCCACATGGAGTGTTTGGGACTTAGCTGAGCGTCACGCCTTGGAGCTGCTCGGCGCCATGCAGGCCACGTGCGAGGTGTCAGTAAAACCAATTGTTGTGGTGATTATATTTTTATTCATTTTGATAATTTCTTTTTTTTTTTTTTTTTTTTGGTACGCGCGCCTCTCACTGTTGTGGCCTCTCCCGTTGCGGAGCACAGGCTCCAGACGCGCAGGCTCAGCGGCCATGGCTCACGGGCCCAGCCGCTCCGTGGCATGTGGGATCTTCCCGGACCGGGGCACGAACCCACGTCCCCTGCGTCGGCAGGCGGACTCTCAACCACTGTGCCACCAGGGAAGCCCGATAATTTCATTTTTATAAAAGTGTATTCTAATGGTTAGAGTTGTACTTTTTGAAAACAGTTTTTTAAAGTTTAGAAATGGGTTTAATGAGATAGAAGAGTTATCTGTGGTATTTCCTTTATTTACTATTTCTCTGCACATAATGTTTGCACATTACTTTGTATTAAGATAAAATTATAAGGCTGAACATCTAATGAGTGCAAAGAAAACATTTGACCCACTAGGAAATGGATTACAGAATAGAAGCAAGCGGAAAGTTTCCGTGCCCTGTGTGTGGTGTTTTGTTTGATGTGCGTACATAAACATACAGTGAGTGACCGACCCTCTGAAGAACAGAGCCTCCTTTGTTGGTTTGTTTCTGTGGTCTGTTTTCCTGGTCGCTTCTGTCCTGTGTTTCAGCTCTTTCAGGAGTGCTGTGATCATGCTGTCTTTTATTACAGGGGCCAGACACCCGCCGAGTCCGATTTCCAGGTGCTGGAAATTGCCCGGAAGCTGGAAATGTATGGCATCAGGTTTCACACGGCCTCTGACAGGGAGGGCGCCAAGATCAACCTGGCCGTTTCCCACATGGGCATCCTCGTCTTCCAGGTAGGAGGGCGGCTGTGCTGTGGCTTCGTGGGGTTGTTTTACGTTTGCTGGGAAGTCTTGGTTGCTGAATCCGTCTTAGACTTGGAGGAAGAGCTTTGCGGACCCTCCGATCCGACCTCTCACCCGTTAGAGAAGTTGTCTTCTTGTCCTGGACTCACTGTCACGGGGCCCATGGCCCGCAGGGCGCTCAGTCACGTCCCACTGTCCTTCTAACGTTGACAGAAGGTCGCCCCCGTGGAACCTCAAGCCCGGCCCTGGCTGCCCTGTAGGGCGGCGTCCACCCCCGCGGGGAGGCTGCTGCCCTGTGGGGTCTCCGCCACAGGTCCCAGTCACCGTTCAAAGCACAAGACAGAACAGCCTGGGGACCCTCCGAGGGCAGTGCTCGGGTTCCCGGGGATCTGTGCGGTAGCGGCGTTCGGATGGGTGAGTGTTACATAAAGGGCCACTGAGTCGTGTTTGTGGTGAATGTCCATGTGCCGGGCCGTGGGGTGTGACGCGCCTGGAAACAGCTGCCAGGGCGCCGGCCTGCAGCTCCGGAGCCCGCGCCTCGCCAGATGCTCCCGCCTCCCCTCCAGGAGCTGCCTGCTCCTGGCCCGTGGAGTCGGGCGCCTCCAGTGGAATGTGGTGCCCAGGTTGGCGGTGGCGCTCTTGGCGCCTGGCTGGCTTTGTGGCTCTTCCCTCTGTGGCCCATCTTCGCTGCCGGCGCCTGAAACGGCTGGTCTGATCCAGGCCTCCCTGATCAAGGACACTTTGTTTCTTCTGCTTTTCCTTTCTCTTTCCCAACTTAGCCAGCAAATTTCAATTTCCCGTAGGAAGAAAATTTAATTTTGCGTTTAGAATGTCAGTTCTGTTACATTCCACCTAAAATCCAGGCCCTTTGAGTGGTGTCCAGGGTCCCCCACACCCGCTCCCTTTGATGGCGGTTCCTACCTGGCACAGAGGGGGAAATCACGTCCCTCAGAATCAAGCTGTTGTCATTTCTCCAGAAAAGGACAAATAATTTATGACTAGAAGAAACTGTAAAAGCATGAGGTTAGAGACTTGAAATGAAAGGCGGCAGATTGAATTCATTTCCACTCCCTCAAAATCCCCACCAGCATGACAGTGAAGGAATTTGTTTTTAACCTTACATCAGTAAGAGCAAAGAATGGAAAGGAAACCACAGAAAACAAGGACTATCGCCAGAGTCTGGGGAGTAGGGAAGCAGGCCCTGACGGCCCAGTGAGGAGTCTGGGATCCCCAGGGTGGGGCGGGGAGGCCGGACGGGGCGGGGCCGGCAGCTACAGCACGACCCGCCCCTCCAGGACGAGGCGCCTCCCTCCCCTGGGAAGGTGGAGATGAGGTGCCTCACGAGTGGGTTCTGACGTCGGGGGCCCCGCTGCAGCCCTGGGAGCTGCCAGCCAGCACTTCAGAGCCTCCTCTTGTAAAGACTTCCATCTGGAAACACTTTCAAACATCCCAAAAAGCTGTGAGAATGACGATAGCACACAGAGACCCCATGCACCTGTCCCCCAGGTTCAGCTGTCACCATTTGCACCTCCCGCTGGCATGTGTTCTCATCCCTGCCGCACAGACACACACCCAGACGCACACAGTTTTTTCTGAAGCCTTGGGGAGTAAGCTGCACACGTCGGGACCTTTACCCCGAGAACTTCAGTGTGTGTTTCCCAAGAGCAGAGTATATTCTCTGTCGTGACCACAGTCAGTCACCACTGAGGCCGCAGGCTCTTAACACCTGGCACACGGGTCCGTCCCCAGTCCTGTCAGGTGGCCAGTGGTCTCCCTGCAGGACAGGATCCCATCTAGAACCAGGCCGTCACGCTGCAGTCGCCTTCAATCTGGAACATTCTTTTTTCTTTATCTTTTATGAAGACGGTGTTGAGGAACACAGCCCCTTTGTAATAGAAAGTTCCTCGTCTGTGTTTGTCGGCTGTTTTCCTGTGATTAGATTCAGGTGACGTGTTCCCAGCTGGACCACTGCCCAGGTGACATGTGTCCCCCTCGGGGGCCACACCCGAGATGCCACCTGGCCTCCCTGGCGATGCGAACCTTGATCGCTGTGTTTTCTATTTCTTCTACTGCATAGTTACCGGTTTTCCTCTTTCAACTAATAAGTGGTCCATGGAGAGGCGCTTTAAGACACAGATGTTCTGTCCCTTGTCAGATGTCCCTTAGACTAGCGTCCCCTCGTGATGCTCCCTGGCCAGTGTTTACCAGGATGGTCACTAACTCAGGCACACCCAGAGCCTCGCTGTTAAATACAGACAGTGACCAAGGGTTGCCAGAAATTTGAGGAAAGCCTTTCTTCAAGGGAAGATGGTATTTGAGGGACAGGTCCCAAATTTGTGCGAAGAAGAGACTCAGAAGAAACAGAAACTGTGCCGGGGGGGAAGAAATGGAAAGCACGGTTCCTCAGAGAGGTTACTGCTTTTCATCTATCGGATTGGCAAAACAGAAAAATCGCTTTACCCACATCGCATTTGTGGGGAACAGGAACACAGCTTTAGCCCGAGTGTAAACGTTTCTCTTGTGATTTTTTATTCTGGCCTTGTTTGTAATAGTAAAATACTGGTAATTAATTATTAGGAGGCTGGTTAAATAAATGGTGGTGCATCCATATTATGGGATAATTGGACAACTGTCCAAAGGTTGCATGCGCTCTCTGTGTCCTGATACGTGAAACATTCTTTGAGATGTATTGTTAAATGGAGATGTTCAAAACTGTGTGTGGAATTTGCTACCGCTTATGGGGAAAAGAAGGGAACTTATACACACACACACTCTATTTATTCCCTACAAAATAAACTGGTGTTGACTGCCCCTAGAATGGTTACTACAGCCTGCAGGCTTTTAGAAGTGGGGAGAGGGGCCTGTTCATTCTGGACTCAATTTTGGTACCTTAAGAATTTGAACCTTGTTAGTATGTTACTGTATTACATTTTCTTTCTTAATTTTTTTAAATTTAATTTTTAATTTAAAATTTAAAAATACTTTTTTTAATTTAAAAATACTTTATTGCTAAGAGTGTTAACCATCATCTGAGCCTTCAGAGAGTCATAGTCTTTTTTCAGCAGTAACAAAGATCATTGATCACAGATATCATAACAAATATAGTAATGAAAAAGTTGGAAATATTGTGAGAGTTACCAAAATGTGACACAGAGACACGAAGTGAGCAAATGCTGTTGGAAAAACAGTGCCCATAGACTTGCTCAGTGCAGGGTTGCCACAGACCTTCAATTTGTGTGTATTACGTTTTCTAAAAAGCCTCACAGAAATAAGGAAAAAGCTTGCATCTCTGAAACGAGAGCAGGACAGTTACGGAGAACAAGAGTGACACACGTTGGCGGAACGAGAATGTTTGGAAGATGCAGTTGAGGAAATCTCCACAGAACAGAATAAAAGATAAAGGGTGGGCTTCCCTGGTGGCGCAGTGGTTAAGAGTCCGCCTGCCAATGCAGGGGACGCGGGTTCGTGCCCCGGTCCGGGAAGATCCCACATGCCGCGAAGTGGCTGGGCCCATGAGCCATGGCCGCTGAGCCTGAGCGTCCGGAGCCTGTGCTCCGCAACGGGAGAGGCCACAACAGTGAGAGGCCCGCGTACCGCAAAAAAAACAAAAAAAGATAAAGGGTGAAAGATGGGAGAGAAAAGTAAAGAAAATTCCAGTGCCATCCAGGAGGTCCAACACCCCAGAATTCTAGAGGCAGGAACCAAAAAGCAGTGGAGGAATTGTTAAAGAAATTACACGAGAAAAAGCTTCCAGAACTCAAGGCACAAAGTTCCAGGTTGAAGGTGCCTGCAGGTTCCAGTGTGACGGCAGCAGGACTTGTCAGCGCGAGCTGCCAGAGGTGGGGGAGTCGGAGAGCTGCCAGGCTGGTAGCGGCAGGACTGGAAGCTGGAGACCGGAGGTTCTACATGTGAAAGAAGAGCATTTCCAGCCCGGGATTCTGTGCCCTGTGCAATGCGACTCCTGTACAGAGAGAACATGAAAGCGTTTTCAGATTTGCAGGTTTTCAGAAATTCAGTTCCTGCACAGCCTTTTGAAGGCCGACGCTGGAGGAGAGAGAAACTTGGATGGGAGCTGAGGAAACAGGGTGACTCATATTGGAGAAGGCAGAGGGGTGGGCTGTGCTCAGATGGGGAGAACGTTTGTCAGCATAAGCACGGAGGTGGCCTCCAAGAAAGGGCTGATCAGGGGAGCTCCCTGGCGTCCAGTGGTTAGGACTCGGTGCTTTTGCTGCCAGGGTCCGGGTCCAGTCCCTGGTTGGGGAACTGAGATCCCGCAAGCTGGGAGGTGCAGCCTGTGAGGGGGCAGGGGGAAGAACTGAGCGATGGCTTCATGGGTTAGACCATGTCGAAGAGTTTTAAAGGTCTGTGGGGAAGTTTGGGGCTGAAGTACCTAGAAATTAAGCAAATGAAAAGAGGCAGTTAGTGACTCAAGGAAAATTAAAAGCAAAGGAGCGGACTTCCCTAGTGGCGCAATGGTTAAGAATCCACCTGTCAATGCAGGGGACACGGGTTCGAGCCGTGGTCCAGGAAGATCCCACATGCCGCGGAGCAGCTAAGCCCATGCGCCACAACTACTGAGCCTGTACTCTAGAGCCCGCGAGCCACAATTACTGAGCCCACGTGCCACAACTGCTGAAGCCCATGCACCTAGAGCCCGTGCTCCACAACAAGAGAAGCCACCGCAACGAGAAGCCCGCTCGCCGCAACTAGAGAAAGCCCACGTGCAGTAACGGAGACCCAAAGCAGCCAAAATTAATTAATTAATTAATTTTAAAGAGCAAAGGACCAAAGTATAGTTATAATTCAGGTTGGCTCAACTTGCAAGCAATACTTAACGTGATCAGTAATATAAATACCAAATTTTAAATTTACCAAAAATGGAGGGAGTGTGGGGACGAGTGGACGTGAGGTCGTGGTGGGTGTGGAGGTCCAGGAGACGAGATCTCGGAGCAGGGTACAGTAGCAGCCTTGGACGAGCTGTGTGGACATGCAGATGCAGGTCTGGAAGGCGGTTCTGTCCGGGGGAGCAGGCCTGAGGGTGGCCCGGAGAGCCCTGAGTCTCCGGGTTTCGTTTCAGGTCTTATTTGGCATTTACAGTTGAGCCGTGGATTTTTTTGATAAAATCCAAAATGAAATCAGTGGCTCTGAGTGTCGCACTGCTTGGTGAGTGTCAGGGTTGCCCAGGGCAGAGTGAGGGCAGTCATCCGTGGATTCTTTGTTTCCACTTTTGATTTATGACTCGGTTAAAGCCTTGGGATGTGGTGATTTTTTATTTTGACCCAAAGGGAAAATGGGATGGCAAGCTTGCAGCTGGGAACAGTGTATCTCTCGCTGTTTGTGTCTTCCTGGGGAGGACAGGCCCTTCCCTGCCCCTCCTGCGGCCACCTGCTTTTTTAAGCCTTTGCGGAGGCACCTACCACCTAGAGGCGAGCGCTGGCGGTGGGCGTTTTCTTTTCTTTTCTTTTGTTGATGTTCTATCGTTTGGTTGTTTTGTTTGCTTTTTTGAGAACACAGTTGAAAACCCTTGAACGTTTTACTTTGAGTAGCAGTTGAAGTGACTTCGTGTCTGCACAGTGTTGGGAGCTGGGATACTTGGGTCTCGTCTAGACCCTGTCATTTGTATCTTGGCCTCAAGGACACTTCTCAACTCAGGAATTTTAAAAACTGGATATAATTCACACATAACGTAAAGTTCACCATTTAAAAGTATAATTCAGTTGTTTTTAGTATATTCACAGAATTGTGTCACCGTCACCACTAACTCCAGAACGTTTAAATCCCAGCCTCACCCCATGCCCCGTAGCAGTCACTGCCCACCCCTGACAACCACTAATCTGCTTTCCGTCTCTGCTGATTTCCTTGTTCTGGACGTTCCTGTAAATGGCCTTTGTGCCTGACAGCTTTCCCCTGTCTCAGAGTTTGTCTATGTCGTGCATGTTTCAGTGCCTCCTTCCTCTTTTATTGCTTAAGTTGTTGTGGGGTTTTTTGTTGTTTGTTTGTTTGTTTTAGTCTCTCTGAAGGGAAAGCATTCTTCACCTTGCCACCCCCCATCTTGAATTTGTAGAAAAGAGTAAATGGTCATGATAGTCGAGAACAGAAAAGAAAATGCCAGAAAAGTGTTTCAGTACATTTAACGTTTTAATTCTGGAGATGTTTCAACGTTATGGAAAGGATATGAGAACAGTAGAACGTGCCCCTTCCCCAGAGACCGCATCCAGCTTCCACCAGTTGCCCCAGTCTCGTTGGTTTCAGAAGATCCCTTCTGAGGCCAAGCGCTCTGCCCAGTCAGGATCCCGCTCTGGCCTCTTCGGTCTGGAACTCTCTTCCTTCTCCCCTTGATTCTCCCGACCTTGATGCTTTGGAAGGTTCGAGGCCAGTCATTCTGTGACATGGGCCTCCCAGCACCTGCTGACGGTCAGACCCTAGTTAAGCTTCTTGGGCGGGTGAATGACAGAAGCAAGAGTGTGCCTGGTGCAGCCCGCAAGGTGGCCCACGGTGCCTGTCTGTCCCATTGCCGGTGGTGCCAGTATCCATCACTTGGTTGGAAGGCGTTTGACAGGCTTCTTCGCTGCAAAGTGACTTTTTATCCTTTGTAATCAGTAAGCATTTTGTGGAGAGATACTTGAAGACTGTAAATTTCCCTGATGGTTGCCAAAAGGCAGCTTTTTTTTTTTTTTTTTTTTTTTTTTTTT